GAGTGGGACACTAGGAAGGGTAAAACAGGAAAGGAGGGAAGGCCATTTCATGATGTTATCAGGCTTCTCACTGCTACAAAAACAAACAAACAAACAAACAAAACAACAAAAAAAAAACTGGGATCTGATCTTGCTGGGTGCTTCTGATTCTTTATACTGATTTTGTCTCTGAATATCTACCTGAGAAATAAGAAAAGTACATATTCATGACCTCCCATCCATTAATTGTCAAGGATTGTCCACGGGGTGTTACTTGCAGTTCTGAGCATTGGCAAATGCTAAATAGCTTCTCTCAGGTGTCCCAATCACATAGCAGGAAAAGTCTAGAAACAAAGGCACAGAGGATGTGACATGCAACTGAAGTGAGCCTCTGCCACTATTGTTTTAGTAGAATGGCACAGAGGTGTCTGCTACTGTCATGGTATGTTGTCATACATGTACACAAAATTCAAAAATCAATCTTTTTGTTTATTCCTAAGAAAATCTCAATAATCTACAGCCTCCTGGGTTAACCGTTTAGCTCTCCACGCCACCTAGTGGTGAAACATAAACATTTTACAAGTGTCAGCAGGTGTTTAAAGAGAAAATTTGCTGTTTCACTTTGTTCCAAATTGAGATGCTGGTGCCTGAGGTAGAATGCTCACCTGCAGTGTCAACTGTTTGTCTGTTGGAAATATTTTTCTTTACCCACTACTTTAAGATGAACAGGCATACCCCATTTGGTACTTTATTTTAATTTAATTTTATTTTTTAAAGAGAGAGTGAGAGAGGGAGAGACACAGAGAGAATTTTTAATATTTATTTTTTAGTTTCGGCGGACACAACATCTTTGTTTGTATGTGGTGCTGAGGATTGAACCTGGGCCGCACGCATGCCAGGCGAGCATGCTACCGCTTGAGCCACATCCCCAGCCCCCCATTTGGTACTTTTAAATAAATATATTCATGTAGGGAGCTTTGTAGATGAAACATTGCTGTAAATGGAGGATTTTATCTGGATCTGGGATATTTCCCCTATAGTTTCCCTAAGTTATGGTCAGCTTTAAATAAAATCTGCACACTGCATTTGTAATCTAATCAAGCATAATTTCATTTTGGAACTATTCTCAGTGAATATGTTTGCCATACATATAATAAAGTATAGATGTATGATGGATGAATGAAGGCAGGACAAGTGAATGCAGGAATTAATTTTTTTAGGAAGAAATCCATGGGACAAAATTTCTTACAGGTGCTATATCACCTGCACCTTGTCTGTCTAGATGTTTCCCTTTTCCTGGGTTCCCTCTTCTCAGCTGCCTAAGCAAAATTAGGCCAAGTCCCTTTCCCCGAAGTCATTTCAAGTAAGTCCTTCCAGGAAGATAAGAACAAAAGAATCAATAAAAATACTAAACTTCAGAATCAAATTGAGTAGGTAAAATTTTCAAGCTGAGAACACAGTGATGATCTTTTTTCTTTCCAATACTTTGTACTTACTATGCACCTGCTGCATAGTAAGTGCCTAAGAACTGTTTGTTACATCAGCTTGTGGATTTTAAAGTAACTGAAGTCTGGTCATAGATGACATACCTCTCACTGTCAGTTGGGGTCATTAGTCAATCCCCATTAGTCAGGATTTCTCATTTGTCTACCTGTGGAAACTTTTATAACCCCAAATTAAGTACTGACAGTGCTTTTGCAGTCATTCATAGATATGTACAGACTGTTGCAAAATGGGAGTCAAATGAAGAACACATTCCCTATGAAAGTAAAAAAAAAAAGTGAAGCTCTGTCTTCAGGTTTCCCTTCTCACTGCAGGATGGGCATCCTGTGTGGCCTAGTGAGTTCCATGTTTTCCACACTTTGTGGTCTTTGTCACTGATATTGTCAATTAAAATGACCCCAAACACATCTCTAACATGCTATCTCGTGTTCATAATCTGAAGAAGGTGATGCCTATTACAGTGGAAGAAGGTGTTTTATGTCAGCTTTTGTTATAGTTATAATGCTGTTGTCTGAGAGTTCAATGTTAGTAAACAATGCAATGCACTGGAAAAAAAGAAAGATAAAATTTGATGATTGGTAGGTGACATAAGTTATAAAGTGACTACTATAATACTATGATAAAGGTATGACAAACTGACAAACAATCATATTTGTGTTTTATTGAGATAGCAGATTTTTTTAACATATGGTAGACAGCAATGGAGGAAGGTTGAAAGCCTAGGAAATTTGTGATCACATCAATCAGGGTCAGGAAATTGTTAAATATTTCTCTGATAATGTTTCTGTTTAAAGAAATATGGGACACAATCAATTACTTGTAAATATATATTAAATAAGATTTTTAAACAAAATACACAAAAACAAGGTTGTGTATTGATCAGTTAACAAAAACAGTGTGAACAGACACTCAAAGGAAAGTGGCCCTTTATTTACCCTAGGAGCATGGCTCAGTGTTCACTAACAGTGTTTGCAGCAGCAACTGTAGAGAATATAACTCGTGAGAATGAACTTTACTCACCTGGACCTACTTCAGTCCTCAAGGGCAGCACTTTGATTCCTCATTTTTGATTCCCTCCTAAGTGATGCCCTTGGCCCTATTTCAGGTATCACCACCATGGGGTGCCTCTCAGCGTTTACTGTATCTGTGAATCTTCTGATGATTTTGTTGAAATGAAAACTGGAATTCAGTAAGTCTGAGACCAGGCTACAGAGGCTACATTTCTACCAAACTCCCATGTAATGAATCTGCTGCTTGACTATAAACCACACTGAATATGGAGGACCTTCATCCTCCCCTGCTCTTTTGGTTTAGAGCACTTGGAACAATAGTTTTATGCTAATATTTCCCTAAAATCTAATAACAGAATTGATAAGAGGCAAAACTATATTTCCCCTGAGAGACTCAGAAAAAGAATGTAGAACTAAGAAAGCACGAAGTCTCCTGGCAAAGCAAGACTTAACAAGAAGAACATCAAATGTCTCAACTATGCCTAAGGTAGAAGGACCACATAGAATTTAAAAAACAAAACAAACAAACAAACAAAAAACTACAAACCTTACATAATCAACACAGGTTTTATTAAGAATTTGTTGCATACATGCCAGACACTTCACCAAGGATACAGTTATTCATAAAGCAAATGCTTTGCTCTCAAACTTTTAAAAACTTAAAAAAAGAAACAAAACTACACACCTGCCACAGATGCTAGGAAGTGAGGGGTGTACAGTGAAATCTGGGGATGCACAGATGTAGGGGAGATGGCTTCCCACCGTAGATCAAGGAAGGACCCCTGGAGGATGTGACACCTGAAATGCATCTGATGATATATTACATCTAACCAGGCTGACACTGCTAACATCCTGTTCCATTCAGAGTTGAACCCACAGAAGCCGGGTCAGAACAACAAATCCTGCAAGATTACGTTGAGCACATATTGGTAAATTATCATGGAGCAGAAATGAATTGCAAAGTTTTAACAAGGAGAGTCTAAGTGATGTCATCCCCATGTGGTGTTCAGGTGTAGACTGGGCACCTGAGTAGCTGGGTCTTCACTTCAGAGAGAGCAAGCACTGCAGGGAGCTTCACTTTGTGTCCTAAGTGAACAAAAAAAAGAACAGACCTTTATAAGGTGAAGGTGAGAACTGAGCAGAAAATGGGAATGGGGGCTAAGGGGAGAAGGAAAAGTGAGGAAAAAGTCAAAAAGAGAAGGGAAGACCATTGGGGAGGAGGGATGAACAGAATAGATGGATACAAAGAACTCACCAGTGTTTCCTAAACCAATATCCAAGACCTGTCAGAAGAGCCAGGGCCACTATCACAGCAAAGAGGATCCAGCCCAGGGCACTAGGAGGTGCTGCAAATTCAAGTGGATACTAACAATGGTGTTTCAATCTGCATCTATAGATCCCTCAGTTTGAATTCTTCCATTCTTTGAATTACATATTCGTCTTCTTTTGGGGTCTGGAATTTGTAAATCCCAATTTTTTACCTGGTCCTCTTGCTCTGCTATAAGACCCTTCATCCCATCTCCAGCTGGGTCCCACTCTTACCCCCCCAGTAGAGGACGAGGTCCTGCCCCCCTAGGCTGCTGTGCTTCACCCTGCAGGCCAGGCCAGCCGCCTCCCCAGCTACCACATCCAGGGTTGCTTGGAGATGCCACGTCCCATCAGCATTGGGCAGGATGTCACCTTGCTGAGTGCCCAGCTGCTCCTGCTCACCTCACATCCACATCACCCACACGGGCTTTGGGTAGAAGCCAGACACATGGCACACCAGCAGCAGATGGCCAGGCCCAGGACTGGGACCACTAGACAGCCAGGCACTGGGCTTCACTGCAAAGAACAGAGAAGACATTTCGACTCTAACATAGACTGAGAAGTTTAGAATTCCACATCAGCCTACAAAGACACATCATTCCTAGTTCTTAAATTTCACTCATCATTCTCTTTTTATTCTGAATTTCATTTTAAAATATGAAAATTCTTCGAGACTGGATATAAGACTGACCTTGTCGCTGGAGAAGAGCTTTCCCTCCATCTAGAAGATCCAAGATTAAACGTGGGCAGGTGTCACTGAGGAGCCAATGTATCCTATTTGTGTAGGCTTGGTTCAGATTGAGTATTTCACAGGCTTTCTTGGCCTTTCTTCCACCCTCTGGAGATGGTGACCATGTTTTATTCTGGAAGCTCAGGAAATCATGTCCTTGGATAGCTACCCACACAAAGCCTAGGAAGCCCTTCCCAGAGTACAGTTCACAGTCTGTTGCCAGCTGTAGAACAAAGGGATCTGGGGAAGAAGAGTAGTGAATTAGGGTAGAAAAGGGAGAAAGAGGACAAAAATGGAGTGAGATGAAAGCAAAAGACAATAGAAGCAGAAGGGAGTGAGATGAAAGCAAAAGACAATAGAAGCAGAAGAGAGTTTGGGAAGTTTAAAGGATGGACCCCAGCGTGGTTTGGTCAGAGGTTAACAAGTTCATAAGTAGCAAAAACTAGTCTTTTTGATAATCTGGTTATGTTTACGCACATGCCCAGGGTTTGATTGCAGTTTTATGCTGAAGAGAGTACAGCAAGTTTCAGAGCAGAGAAGGCTGCTTCCTTAAAAAATAAAAGTTCACTGAGATGCCCTACCCCTCATCCCTTTTTTTCTCCCAGCAAGAGAAGTGAACTCACCTTTAAACATTAATTGAGAAATATAAAATTCCCGATGGTTCATGAAGTATAACTGGATCAACTTTTCCATATCCATCCAATACTTCTTACTGAAGTTGCCCCTGGACCAGGGATACAGGAAAATGAAGGTACCAGAGGTGCTGTTCCATCTGTGAGTCTGCAGCTCCCCCAACCAGGCTGACCACAGATGTACCCAGGAATGGTTGTGAAAGGATGATGTCTGCATGAGATGGTAGGAGACAAGCTCCTGCAAACCCTGTGGCAAAAGAATAGATAGAATAGGCAAAAATGAAACATTGGAAGGGAGACTTGGGAAAGAAAGGTGACTTCTTGGGAAGACTCAGAATCTGGAAAAGTGGAGAGCCACCATTACCTTAGCTGACATCTGCTGGCCCCCAGGGTCCCATGCTCCACCAACAGCCTCCA